TATATATATATATATATATAAAAATATAATCCTCAAAATATTGAGGTCGGGGCCAAACAGAGAAAGAGGAATAACCTCCAAACTAATAGAGGGAAGCATTCACGAGCAAAAAATATAACACATCCAAAAGTGGGAGGAGGAGGGTGTAAGGACAGGAAAGGGAACATAGAACAGATGGAACCAATAGAAAGCACAGAGTAGATTTAGTCCCAGATATATTCATAATTACATTAAATATAAATGGACTAAATACTCTTGTTAAAAAATAAAGGTCAGAATGGATTGAGGACAAATCCTAATTCCGGCATTTACAAAAGATATATCCAAAACAGAATAAGGACTCAGAAAGGCTGAGTCCTTTCTGTGTACTCACCCTGCAGGCAAACAACACTCAAGCCTTTCCCCTGCTCCGTTCCAAGCCTGGCAGGTGCTCCCCAGTGTCCCCACCAGGGCTGCCCTTCCTCCTTTATCATCCAGGCTCACACTCCCTTTGGCAGGGCCCAAGTCTGAACCAGAGGTCTGTGAGACTGCAGGACATGCTGCCTCTCCCAGATCTCAGCCCTCCTACTTGTCCCTTTCTTGCCTTGGCCTGAGCCATTCTGTGAGCATGTGTTTTAATAGGAGGCATTCAAGAACTGGCAGTAGATGAACCGACCACTTTCTTAGGTGACCTGAGTCTCAGTGCCCTCCTCTGTAAAATGGAATGATAAATATCTTACAGGGCTGCTGTGACAGCTAGAGACCAATTGTTCATGGCACCAAGCACACAGTAGAGGTCTTATCATGTTTATTCTTTGTTTATATCAATTTTACGTGCCTGTGTAATCAGTAAGACCCCACCAGCTGCCCCTGACAGTCTGGTAAACTATTAAGACCTTTCTCTTGAGTGTTTTTGGTGAGGGCAGAGTGTGGTGGGCAGGGAGTAGGAGCTAGCCTACTCTTCCTTCCATGCTGGGAAATTCAAGTGGAGCCAAGGGGTAACTCCAGGATGCCCTTTTCCCATTTGTTTGCCAGCCTGACTGACCTGTCACTCTGTCTTTGATTAGGTCACACTCCTGCTCAGGCCCTAACCTTGGCAACTTCCCAGGGTCTGTGTGTCAGGGTCCCCTGTCTCCACGCCCCCCCTGGCTTGCTTTCCCCTCTCCTTCTGCCTGTGTACTCACCCTGCAGGCAAACAACACTCAAGCCTTTGCCCTGCTCCTTTCCAAGCCCTGCGGGCTCTCCCCAGTGTCCCCACCAGCGCTGCCCTTCCTCCTTTGTCATCCAGGTTCACACTCCCTTATCTGCAGTTCTGAAATCTGAAAGCTCTAAAAACCAGACTTTTAAAAATAAGTTTGATACAAACTGATCTGCCCTGACATGAGATTATTTAGAGTTTTTATTATGTCTCTTACAGCTCATACACTTTGCCATGTTTCATTAAAGGTGCCTCTCCAGACCCTGCTGGGATGTTTTGTAGTGTCAGCATATGCACCACGTGACCTTTGTACAATCCATAAAGCTCTGAAAACAGCGCACATCTGACCCGGGCTTTAGATGGAGACTGTGAGCTTGCAGTAATGACAGCCTGAGGGCCTGCCCTCTACAGGCGCCTTATGTGCTTATCACTCATCCTAGTCACAACCCTGTAAAGTGGGCACTAGCCCCTCTGTTTCACAAACGAGGGTTTGGAGGCAGGAGGTTATACAGCTGGGAAGTGGCTGAACCAAGTCCTGAATGCCCAGCCTCCCACACTGTCTCCTCTGTACCAAGTCTCTCTGTGTTCCTCAGGTGCTAGCCCACCTGCTCCCAGCTCTCTGTCCTTCTGATGCTTCTGGGACTTTGGTATACAATAATGCTTAATTCTGTTCATTTGGCAGTATTCATTCAGGGCTTCTCGTGCTCTGATGCCCACACAAACTATTAACGATGCTGGTTCAGATTTAGGCCTGGGTGTGATTTGCTGCATTCCTAACAAGCTCCCATTTGCTGTTCAACCCCACTTTGAGGAGTAAGACTCAACCCCTACTGTCATCACTCTCATGTGTAAAAGCGCTCTACATACCTGATCTGGATGTGGGTGCTATTATTCACTTGACAGCTAAGGAAACAAGCACAGAGATTAAGTGACTTGCCCAAGGCCACACAGCTCAGAAGTGGCAGAGCCAGGACTTGAACCCAATAAGCCTGGCTCTAAAGTTCATGCTGTTAGCTACTACAGAACACACAAGTCGGAGGTAGACCCTGTCAGTGCAGCATGATGAGACAGTCAGTGCAGGCAGGACTGCCAATTCCAGAGCCCCTAGGGGAAGGCTGGATTCTATTTCAGCACATGGCAAATTTTTAGGGTAGCAGGAACTCTTTCCTTTAAACACCCAACCTGTTTCTTTCAACTCTCTTTCTAAAATGGATTGTACATCTTCCTGCTGTACGTAATTTAGCCTTTTCTTGATAGCTCATGGCCACTATTATGATTACTGATGTTTGTAACTATTCTAAGACTTTATTTCTCAAACCATCAGCTTTCAGTTTCTTACGGCTGTTTCTATGCTTGCTTCCGTGACCAACTTCATTAGAACCATGTGTAAAGTAAGGGCATATAGGTGCAGAGTAAGGCTAGAGGAGTTTCTCTAAGACAAGCATGCTTCAGCTTTTGTGCATGGAATATATGAAATTCAGTTAGGTTGATCATTTATATATTTTTGCTTATTTCCTGGTTCACAGATGTGTTGTTGAGAGTTAAGGGGTTGACTAAGCATCCTATATATCTGATTTTCAAACTGGAATGTGATCAGACTCCCAGGGGAATTTTTTAAAGCTGCCTAAAGTCCTCATCTGTATTGAGGCCAAATAGAGAAAGAGGAATAAACTTCAAGCTGATAGACGGGAATATTCAATGGCAAAATGATAAATCCAAAATAAGGGGAAAAGGAGGGAGAAAAAGGAACATAGAACAGATGGAGCTCATAGAAAGCACAGGGCAGATTTAGTGGGGCCTCTACATTCTGAAAAATTATATATGAAATCATCAGCACTTATTGAGCACCTATTGTATCCTCACAAGCGCTGGGCACTATGAACCGGAAACCCTTTGAGCCCAGTCCTCATGCATTACAACATCAAGTTGAGTGGACAAGTCTAAACACAGGAAGTCAACTATGGCTTGCTCACCTTCGGAGAGGAGTAGTGACAGTAGTACTGCAGCAGGGTGAGGGCATCTGTGGGGAACGAAGGCGAGGCCATTTGGTGTAGTGAGAACAGCCGGGATGACAACAGGAGGGTCAGCAAGTCTGACTGTGAGTTTCTGCTCCCTGACCTGCCAGGGGACACATGTCCTCTCTGAACATCAGTTTCCTCATCTGAGAAATGGGGGTAAGCTATTCTCCCTCCCAGGGTTGTTGTGATGAGAGAATGCCTGGGAGAGCACTGTATAAACTGTAAAGTGTTGTCCACTCTTGAGCAGTGAGACTCCTGCAGGCTACAGGGAACGCTGACCCACGCTGGTTAATTCCAGCAATGAGGCTTTATTGTCAGGCTGTACGGGGAAGGTGGGAGGCCTGAGAGGGATTCTTATCAGACAGACAGCTGCCCTCCAGGACAGCCCCATCCTTGTTCTGGAGTCCTTGGACTCTTACCCCAAACCCATTATGGACTCTCTCCACCTAATGCCTTCTGCTGCCTCCTGGCTTCCACCTCCTGGCTCCTGCCCACTGTCTTCTCTTAGGTAGCCCTTACCTTCTGCCCATTTAATGGTCCTCCGCTTATCAAGTAGCCCCAAAAGAGAGAGCTGGCTCTGTGAGCCACAATCCAAAACAGAAGGTCCCTATTGGGCACAGTTTTAATGCCTTCTCATCTGCCCCTTGTGAATATCCAGCTTATAAACAGCTGCCTTTGTGTCAGGATGAACGTTGGCCTGGGCAGTTGCGGCCAGGGTGTGGGCCCCTAGGCCACAGCAGCACAATGTGAGCCTGTGGGGTCTGTGGGTGTGGCTTGCCCTCAGAGAGAGCAGACCAGACTGTCCATGGTAGAATTCAAGCTATTTTTATAGAGAATGGGACTAAGACAGTCAGTCCGGCCAGCTAACAGCACCTGCCTGTCATGTTTCACGTGCCACTCAGTGAGGGCCACGCTGTGTAATCTGGGAAGGTTGTGGTGCCCTCAGTCTCCATGTACTGCTGGTTTCTGTGGTTGATGACTCTCCTCAATGGCTCTGCCCTCAGACACTGGCATCTACCTCTGTGTGTGTTACCCAGCCCCAGGATTAAAACCTGCTCGTTGCATTTCTACATGAGGATGTTCACTGTGGCATTGAATATAGTAGAGAAAAATGAGCAGCAGTTTATATGTGTAGCAGTGGGGGGCACTATATTTGGGTATATTTATATGACAGTGTGCATATATGCATTAAGAGTTATGTGATGAAGGAATATTTAGTGACATGGTATAATATTAAAAGAAAGTGCCAGCATGGATGACGTCTGGATTTATGGGAGAGAGGAGAGTTAGGAATGGGGAGATGAGGGCATTTGCTTTTTAACTTCTGTTCTTTATATCATTAGAGAAGAGAGAGTGTGATGGGTGATTATTCTGCCTGTATGTGGGCTTTTTGGTCGTCCTCAATTTTTTTTTATTGTGAACACAAGATAT